GTCTCTGCTTTCTTGCCCCATTCACTCGTCCTCCTTTCCCCAGTCTTCCCTTGCCGCATCTTTGTCTTCCACAAACAGCCCTGTCTTTGATCTTCATCCTTCTCCCTCCATGGACGATGGCAGCCTGCATATTGTCATGCTCCCATGGCTAGCCTTCGGCCACCTGCTTCCGTTCATGGAGCTCTCCAAGCGCATGGCCCAACATGGCCATCGCGTCTCCTTGCTCGTCACCAAGAGAAACATACAGAGGCTCCCCAGAGTTCCTCCCCATCTCTCTTCTCTCCTCCAGTTTGTCGAGCTTCCCATGCCAAGCATCGAACACCTGCCGGAGAACGCAGAGGCGTCGATCGACCTTCCGTCCGACGAGCTCAGACCGTACCTGAGGCAGGCCTTCGACACCTTCCAACACCAGTTATCCAGCTTCCTCCGGCAAACGTTGCCCCGCGTGCCCGATTGGATCCTTTTCGACTACGCTGCCTACTGGGCGCCCCGAGTGGCCGCCGAGTTCGGCGTGCCGTGCGCCTATCTAGGCCTCTTCAACGCCGCGGTGCTGAGCTTTTTTGGGCCGTCCGCATCGTTAATGGGCTGTGAAGGCGCGAGGGAGACGCCTGAGCAGTTCATGGAGCTGCCTGAGTGGGTTCCTTTCGAGTCCACCGTCTTTTTCAAGCCCTACGAGGCTCGCGAGCTCTTCAAGCCCGGCGTTCTGCCGGACGCCTCCGGTGTGTCCGAAGCTTATCGGTTCGGTAGGACGTTGGAAGATTGTCAATTGATATCTGTTCGGAGCTGCCCAGAGTTCGAACCAGATTGGTTTCACCTCCTCGGGAAGCTACACAAAAGACCAGTGATTCCCGTAGGATTCTTCCCTCCCTCACCTCAGGAATCAGACACCGATGAAGAGAGCGACCGCAGGTGGCGCAGCATCTTCCAGTGGCTAGCGAAACAAAAGCCAGAATCAGTCGTTTACGTTGCATTCGGCAGCGAGGTAAAGCTGACAAGCTCTCAAGTGCATGAGATTGCTCTCGGCCTGGAGGGATCCCAATTACCCTTCGTTTGGGCACTGAGAGCACCGGCAGACTCGCACGGCAGCCCCGCCGCGCTGCCGGAAGGATTCGAGGAGCGGACGCAGGGACGCGGGCTGGTGTGCTTGGGTTGGGTCCCTCAAGCCCGGCTCCTTGCGCACCCGTCCATGGGCGGATTCCTGACGCACGCCGGTTGGAACTCGATCGTCGAGGGGCTCGCGCTCGGGCTCCCGGTCGTGCTCATGCCGCTGATGTTCGATCAAGGTCTGAATGCAAGAAACCTGGTCGAGCGGAAGATTAGCGTGGAGGTGCCGCGAAACGAGGAAGATGGATCGTTCACAGGAGAGGGGATAGCGACGACCTTGAGGTTGGTCATGGTAGAAGAACAAGGTCAGCCACTGAGAGCGAAGGCCAAGGAGTACAGAGAGGTGTTTGGAGACGAGAAGCTGAACGATCGACATGTGTGGGAATTCCTCAAATACTTGATAGAACATAGAAGACAACAAGCTTAACTCAGCTGCAATCGATATGAGATCTCAGTCTTGTCGTCGCTGTTTTCTGCTTTATTCGTGTTGTTGGATTCTCCTCGGTCACATGAAGCTTGGTGTCAACGTTACTTGCTGCTCTGACCCCAAAGCTTCACCATCTACTAGTAATTCCAACTTGGACTCTGGATTTTAGTGGAGAATCACATGCTTCATCCAATCTTCTTAAATTAAAATGCGTTAGAATAAATAAATCTAGATATCTTAAATTATAAAGTCATCTAATTATAAGGGTAATATATAATTAATCGACTAAAATTGACCTTATAATATTGGATGATTAATAATTGATGACCATTATATCACGATCATTATATCAGAATTAAATCCAGCCAGAAGAATACAAAGTAACTCAAATTAACAAGAAAAAAAATAATAATATAAATAGTATTGCAAATCTTCCTCCATACTCCTATTGATCACCCAAAAGTACATTCTATTATTATTTCCACCGACATGAAATAGGTCATTCGGAAAGCAACATAATGGATATTATTTGCCACGAATTATACAGGCCTTATGCAGTCACATGAAGTTTGCTCCAGTCTTCTCTTAGTTCTCAAGTGTTGGTCATCTTAACATGCTCAATACACTTGATATGGTCGCTGATTGGGTCAATTCGAGTCAATTGGGTCGAATCGTTGAACCGAACCCAACCTACTTATTGATCACTGGACTTAATTATGTCGGGTCCATTTATGATATTAATGCCTGACCCAAATCCACCATTCTCGCATCATGTCGACCTGCCGTGTGGATTACGAATTGCCACTTGTCGGATCCATTGATGGTCCATCGATGAGAACCAATTTCAATCTGTTCTCCCTCGTACTCACCGTCAGATTTAGATCAGACGATAGCGAAGCATGAAAATGTTCTAAGATTAACCTGATCCGCGGATTACCAGATTGGACAACGGCCATTTCCCTACTTCTCCCCGTCGTTAAACCGTCCCTCCCCGGCCTTGTCCCGGCTAGGGTTTCTGACCGTCGTTCCGTCTCCCGTCGCCATTGAGAGTTCCTCCTGATCTTTCGATTCGATCTGTTAATGCATGATTTATTGTTTTCCCTTCTGATTCATGTTTTTGATTGGTGAAACTCCGTGAATAGCCGCAGAGGATCTCCGCCGAAGCGCAGGAGGTTCGGGAGGTCCACAAGCTATCGAATTTTACCCCAGAGGTTGGACTTGGCTACTGATTTGTATTCTTTTTTCCCCTATGTTTGGGAACTGGTGAAGGGGACCGATGTCTGTGTGTGTTTTTTGCCACCTATGAACAGGTATTGGGTATTGAAGGAAGAATGTTTGGCAGAAATCGTTATGCGGAGAAGGTGCAGATGAAGAAGATGTAAGCATCCTTTGCATCGTCCTTGAAGTTTGATTTCCTAAACTTGTCTCAGCAATGTAGGTATGTTTGTATTGTTTCTTTTATAGTTTTTAGTTCAAGTCATTGAGCCCTCATACTCGCTTTACTAAGCCCATTGATGAGGGAGGGGAATTTAATACTAACATTACAACTGAATAAAAGAGCTTCCTTTATGAGCAGTTATGTTGCTTGACATACGCCAATCAAGAATGTGAAGTTACAATCAGCAGCTAATAGCCATATGAAGCAATCAACTTTTTGTAGCATTGTGATCCTGAACAGCTATTTTTACCATGTTACGAAAATGTGACTATGTTTTGCGTTACTGATTTCCATCTTTGCATACTTATACATTAACTATGTCCAGAGACATTTCGGATTTATAGGACAAAAATGGAGAATTTGCTTATTCAGGGTTGTCGATTTAACAGACTACCAACTTAATCGAAGTGAAATTGAACAATTTCGTTTCTGTTTGGTCCTTCCCAGTCTTACTATTTATGATGAATCATCAAGTAGGTGTAATTGTTCCAATGGAGGCTGATAGGCGAATTAAGTAACCAACTTTTTTCTAGCATTGTGATCCTGAATAGGTCATTCTATCATTTTAAAAAGGGTTCATGTTTGCCATTACTGATAACTGTCATTGTATATGTAGACATGTTATTGTATCCAAAAGCATGTTGGATTCATAGGACAGTAATGGTGAATTTGCTTGTTCAGTGTTGTTGATTTAACTGATGACTACCTTAACTGAAGTAAAAACGAGCAATTTGCTTTCTGTTTGGTCCTTTGCAGGCTTGTTGTTCATGATGAATCATCATATCTCCATTAGGTGGTCGACAAGGTTCATGATGAAGCTACTCCTGCATCTTTTAGATTGGGATACGACAACATGGAAAAAGGTTTCTTATCCTTTTAACATGCCACTCCATGCATTAAATTTTAGTTCAATCCCTGGTTTTCATATGTGCAGATGATCCTCAAACAACACTTAAGCAGAAAAAGGAGGAAAAGGCTGGCAATTGGAAGGTCCCCTTACCAATGGTGAGCTTGCTTTTAAAATATGCCCAACACATGATTTTAGTTTCACTTTAGAAAATAGCCCCTAGGCCTATCTAAGATCTCTCTAGATCAGTCAAATGATTTCTCAACATCCTCTCTTTGACGTTGAATGTGTGCCTGCAATTGTGCATGCATCCATCATGTGGTAGACTTAAGAGCCTCACCTTTAAGGACAGTCATGGCCAATTAGCCATTCTTTTGATTGTCCTTGTATCATCAGAGGGAGGGAAGGAAGGACCGGGAGAGAATAGTCTTCTTTTTTTTATACAGAAATAGATCATTTTTCGTTGGACAGTGTACACAGTGATTAAAGTTGCCCTTTCATTTGCTTCTGAATCTTATTATAAAATCAGAGACACTTTTAAGAACTAATTACCAATTTTTATTTACATGTAGTGCAATCTGGAGAGTGAATAACAGGCACATTGGGACCAAATGCATTTATGAATTTAGAGGCAAATGCTGGTGGTTGGCCTTGGACATGCAAAGGAAATTATAAAGCTGGACAGCAATGAATTACAATATGTTTGCTATTCAGTCATGCTGTTCACTGGTTAATTTGTACCAATAATACTTCTCCCAATGAAGCCCTAATCCTGCTGTTACATCGTCTGTTTTATTTGTTATGTTGATAATTAATAGCAATCACTTTCTCATTACGTTAGACTTCCTCATGGTATGACATCCCACCCACTATACGATCATTCCATCGTTTTCCTCATGGTATGACATCCCACCCACTATTGTGGATTGAATGAATTAACTTAGTGGTTTATACTGTTGACTTCTATTACAAGGGTCCTGTAATTTTTTTGTGTCAAGCAAACTATTTGGTGAGTCAAATGAACACATATTCTACCAGAATAGTTAGACCACATGCAGGAGGATGGCAAAGCTCGATTTGCTTTTGGAGAGATCATGGCAAATATAATCCGCCCTTTGAGTCTAATTTCTCTGTTACTGAGCTTTTGTCAGTTTATGTGATATTATTATTGTGGTTTGTGCTTCATTTTGCTTAGTATTGCTTACTGTAAAATTAAGTTCAGCAGCTCAGCTTGTTGCTTGTCTTTGTCAGTCAAGAAATATATGCTCTATCTACATTCAAAGACACATGTTCGTCAATCTATACGACATGCACATTTATATGTTTACTGGTGTATCTGCAGGTACAAATACTATTCCATCGTTTTCCTTATCATTTATTATCTGCAGGTACACCAGTTATCCAGCTTCCTCCGGCAAACGTTGCCCCGCGTGCCCGATTGGATCGTCTTCGACTACGCCGCCTACTGGGCGCCCCGAGTGGCCGCCGAGTTCGGCGTGCCGTGCGCCCATCTTAGCATCTTCAACGCCGCGGTGCTGAGCTTCATTGGGCCGTCCGCATCGTTAATGGGCTGTGAAGGCGTGAGGGCGACGCCTGAGCAGTTCATGGAGCTGCCTGAGTGGGTTCCTTTCGAGTCCACCATGTTTTACAAGCCCTACGAGGCTCGCGAGCTCTTCAAGCCCTGCGTTCTGCCGGACGCCTCCGGTGTGTCAGAAACTTATCGGTTCGGTAGGACCTTGGAAGATTGCCAATTGATAGCTGTTCGGAGCTGCCCAGAGTTCGAAACAGATTGGCTTCACCTTCTCGGGAAGCTACACAAAAGACCAGTGATTCCCGTAGGATTCTTCCCTCCCTCACCTCCGGAATCAGAAACCGATGCAGAAAGCGAAAGCAGGTGGCGCAGCATCTTGCAGTGGCTAGCGAAACAAAAGCCAGAATCAGTCGTTTACGTCGCATTCGGCAGCGAGGTAAAGCTGACAAGCTCTCAAGTGCATGAGATTGCTCTCGGCCTGGAGCGATCCCAATTACCCTTCGTTTGGGCACTGAGAGCACCGGCAGACTCGCACGGCGGCCCCGCCGCGCTGCCGGAAGGATTCGAGGAGCGGACGCAGGGGCGCGGGCTGGTGTGCTTGGGTTGGGTCCCTCAAGCCCGGCTCCTTGCGCACCCGTCCATGGGCGGATTCCTGACGCATGCCGGTTGGAGCTCGATCATCGAAGGGCTCGCGCTCGGGCTCCCGGTCGTGCTCATGCCGCTGCTGTTCGATCAAGGTCTGAATGCAAGAAACCTGGTCGAGCGGAAGATTAGCGTGGAGGTGCCGCGGAACGAGGAAGATGGATCGTTCACAGGAGAGGGGATAGCGACGACCTTGAGGTTGGTCATGGTAGAAGAACAAGGTCAGCCACTGAGAGCAAAGGCCAAGGAGTACAGAGAGGTGTTTGGAGACGAGAAGCTGCATGATCGACATGTGTGGGAATTCCTCAAATACTTGATAGAACATAGAAGACAACAAGCTTAACTCAGCTACAATCGATATGAGATCTCAGTCTTGTCGTCGCTGTTCTCTGCTTTATTCGTGTTGTTGGATTCTCCTCGGTCACATGAAGCTTGGTGTCAACGTTACTTACTGCTCTGACCCCAAAGCTTCACCGTCTACTAGTAATTCCAACTTGGACTCTGGATTTTAATGGAGAATCACATGCTCCATCCAATCTTCTTAAATACTTATCCACCAAAACCTCTGTGACTGTCTTACGCACGCAATTACTTTTCCATTATGTCGTCAAGTTCATTACAGTTTCTTGATGTTGTTGGTGTTCCAATCAGTTGAATGGCAACATTGTGAGTCTTGATGAGAGAGAACAGAGATATTATCTTTTGTTAATGCTCCAAACTATTCATCAGTAGAAGAGCTTTTCCCTGCCAAATTTAAGGTCATTAACATAGACAAAAACGTAACATAGTATGGGCACGATCGGCACCATTATTTCCCAAACTCACTACAATTTCCTTGGATTTGAAGCTAGATGAGGAAAAAATGATGTTTTTGCTGATAAAAAACAAGCAATCAACTTATTGCTGAACTATTATCGTATATGTGTTCTTTGATACTGTGAGATTGAATCTACAAATTTGACTGTCTTCAATTTGACTGTCACGAAGAAGGATATGAAACCTGGAACGGTGGGGAAAGACAAGGGGAGCTCCTCCACACCCTTGAATGCATGCTGAGGATCTCCTTCGCTTTCTCCCTGGTCTTAGCTTTGCAATCCACTTGGAGCACCAGGCACAGTTTGGACACCACTCCCATCTGCATCATCTCCTGCAGCAATCGAGGAGTAGCCGAGTGCCGCACCACCGAGTGCAGTATCCTGACTGCCCTCTCGCTCGCCATCTCCAAGGCCACGGCTCAAAGACTGTTTCCATCAACAGATTTGGCACTAGAAGGAGGGCCACGAATGTCGAGGGACCCTCAGACTGACCCCGACGAGCCTCCAACCGAGGGATCGTACTTAACAGGGGTGCCGGTCGTGCGCCCCTCGCGTGACGGGCCGCGATCAGACGACCTCGTCACGACCTCGGAACGCTACTGACGCTTGTTTAACGACCTGGGTCTGCTTCCGCCCGAGGGCGCTCCCAGCGTCCCTTCGCCCATGTCGACTGAGGCCTTCCAGGACCTTTCCCACCAGGTCCGAATTTTGGCGGGAATGGTGCAGACCGTCATCCCGCTCATTTCCCAATCGACAAACCCGTCGGCGGCCCAGCCTACGTGTCGATTAGAACCATCTGCGCCTGCTCGCACTACAAACTCGGCGCTTCCTGGCTCACCCCAGACCCAGGCGTTTCCCCTTGGAGATCAAGCAATGGAAAACCTGGCCGGCCGACCCGAGCAGGAGACGATATCCTCGGGCTCGACGGACTCCTTCCGGGCCCAGCTATGCCTTTTCGATCAATGACTTGAAGAAGTACAGAAGGAGGTTCGTGCCTCAAAGGGAGAGCTAGGGGACGATGCACACCGGGGGTTGCCGTTCGTGGCTGAAATACGGGACCAGCCGGTGCCCGTGAACTTTCGACTTCCCTCCCTGGACGCTTACGATGGCACCACCGACCCCGCGGACCATGTGGCCGCCTTTCAGGCTCATGTGGCCCTCTTTGTTGATGCAGGCATTCATGGCGAGTCTCCGTCCCTCTAGGTTCTTTTGGTCCCTCGTAGAACGACCCCCCGCCGTAGTTTCGGAAATGCTCCAACGAGACAACCACTGTGTTGCGGCGGAAACGTGGATGTTGGGGAGACATGAGGAGCACAAAAGGCCCCGGACGAAGCCACCACGAGGGCAGCTACTTGGCCCGCCGAGGAGCAGATTGGACCGGTTCGACCCGTCCACGCCGAGGTTGCCTCTCCCCGCCTTGGGAACATCTCGAACACATATTTCTCCAGATAATGGAGAAGGGGCTGCTCCGAGCCCCCGACCCGATGAGGAGCCCATGGGAGCTCGCGGACAAGACGCGATATTGTCGTTTCCACCGGCAAAACGGGCATGATACGGAGGAGTGCCGCGAGTTGAAGCGGCAAATCGAGGAGTTGATTTGAAGAGGGCACCTCGGCTGCTATCTACAACAGGATAAAGAGCTTTCCCCACGGCCCAAGGGCCCCTATCGAAAGGCAGATCGACGTAATCACGGGTGGCCCGACGTCTGGGGGAAATAGTATGTCTGGGCGGAAAGCATACGCCCGCACTACCACAACCGAAGACCCTGGGCGCTGGCCCGAGCCCGAGGTCACGTTTCCCGCCGAGAGAGCCATGCAGCCCGAACACGATGATGTGTTGGTGGTGGCCACCAGGATCACCAACGCTCAAGTAAAGAGGATCGTGGTCAACACTGGAAGCTCGACCGACATCCTTTATCTGGACGCCTTCCAGAAGCTCGGGCTCTCCCGCGACGCCCTGGAGCCTATGAGCTCAACGCTCACCGGCTTCACTGGTGAATCAATTTCACCATTGGGCGCAATCACCTTGCCTTTAACCCTCGGGGAAGTACCAAGGACGAAGACGGTAATGGCAACTTTCTTGGTAGTCAACCTTCCTATCGCTTACAACGCGATCCTGCGGCGCTCCACCCTCAATAAATTCAGAGCGGTTATCTCCACCTACCACCGAACCTTAAAGTTACCGACCCGTGCGAGGGTTGGAGAGGCCAGGGGGAGCCCCCGCGAGTCAAGGCGGTGTTACTTGACCGCGGTCTCCCTGCACAAAAGAAGGAGGGTTGAACTGCCCCTCAAAGACTCCCGAGAAGCGAAAAGGCCGACCCAGCACCCCAAGCCAACGGAGCCTACGGTGGATGTGCCACTACTGGAGGGATGCCCCGATCGAACGGTAAAGCTCGGGTCGGAGCTTCCTGAGCAGGACGAGCCCAGCTCATTAATCTCCTCCAAGAGAATATCGGTGTCTTCGCCTGGTCACCTGCTGACATGCCAGGCGTCGACCCTGAGGTATCTTAGTACCACTTGTGCATCTCCCCCGATGTGCGGCCAGTAAAGTAGAAGCCCCGACATCTTACCCCCGAATGCCAGCAGGCTATCCGAGGAGAGGTAGAACGACTTCTGGCGGCAGGCTTCATTGAAGAGGCCAAGTTCCCACGCTGGTTATCCAATGTAGTCCTTGTGAAGAAACCTAATGGAAACTGGAGAATATGCGTTGACTACACCGATCTTAATCGTGCTTGTCCAAAGGACTGCTACCCCCTCCCACGGATCGACCAGTTGGCCGACGCAACGGCCGGTCACGCCCGCCTGTCGTTAATGGATGCCTTCTTCGGCTACAACTAGATCAGAATGGCACCCGAGGATCAACAGCACACTGTATTCCTCACCGACCAAGGGGTATACTTCTACAAGGTTATGCCATTCGGGCTGAAGAACGTCGGGGCTATGTATCAAAGGACCATGAACAAAATGTTTGCTCACCAGATTGGGAGAAACATAGAGGTCTACGTCGACGATATGATTGTGAAAAGTCGCACGACCATGACTCACTTCTCCGACTTGGTCGAGACCTTCGACATGCTACGAAGGTATAACATGCGACTCAACCCCGCCAAGTGCGCCTTCGGTATCAACTCGAGCAAATTCCTCATGTTCATCATACATGAAAGGGGAATCGATGCGAACCCCGAAAAGGTACGGGCAATCGTCGACATGCAGGCCTCTCGGACAGTCAGGGAGTTGCAGCGCTTAAACGGGAGGCTCGCCGCCATGTCAAGGTTCCTATCCCGATCGGGTGACCGGTGCCTCCCCTTCTTCTGGGCTCCGAAGGACCCCAAGGACTTCGCGTGGACAGCGGAATGCAAGGAGGCTTTCGCCCATGTGAAGGAGCATCTGGCGTCGCTCCCTCGCCTTGCTTCGGTGTCCCCTCAGGAAAAGCTGGGTGTCTACTTGGTCGCCTCTCGGCACGTAGTAAGTTCTATCCTGATCAAGGAGGCTTCTGGAGAGCAGTTACCGGTCTACTACACTAGCCATGTCCTTAACGAACCCGAGGAGCGATACCCTCCGATCGAGAAACTGGCGCTGGCGCTCGTATTTACCGCCCGAAAGCTGCGTCCCTACTTCCAAGCTCATCCGATCGAGGTAATCACCAACCAGTCGCTCCGACAGATTTTATCTAAATTTGACCTTGCAGGTCGCCTCCTCAAGTAGTCAGTGGAGCTCGGTGAGTTCGATATTCAGTATGTCCCGAGGACTACCATCAAAGCACAGGCGGTGGCCGACTTCATCTTAGAACTGACTCAGCCTGAGGGCGAGGAACTAGAACGCGTGAAGACGGGATGGCTCCTCCGCATGGACGGATCATCCGGCCGAAAAGGCGTGGGGGCCGGGCTGGTGTTAGAAGCCCCCGACGGGCACTCGTTCGAGTGCTCCCTTCGCTTCGGATTCAAGGCTACCAACAACGAGGCGGAGTACGAAGCGTTGCTGGCAGGGCTTAGATTAGCTGTCGAAATGCAAGTGGGCGACATACATGTCCTCACCGATTCACAGCTGGTCGCCGAAGAGCTCACTGGCGGGTATGAGTCCCGGGACCCAACCATGTCAAAGTATCTGGTGGAGGTAAGAGCTATCGCTGCCCATTTTTCCCGCTTCACATTATCCAGGGTGCCGAGATGCCAGAACGAGCAAGCGGACACGCTGGCAAAACTGGCCTCAAGATCGGGTCCCGAGGGCGAGCCCGACGTGGAGGAACTCCCCACCCGCGCTATCACGGTCGCAGCGGTAGCCTCTACTGGCCCCCTAACAACATTGGTGCAAGAGGTGTTATAATTCAAACGTCACGAGACGCTTCCCGAGGATGAAATCATGGCTCGGCGCCTACGCCAGACCCAGGCCTGGTACTGTGAAATCGGCAGACGATTATACAGGGGGTCATACTCACGCCCCCTCCTACGCTGCCTCGAGCCCGAAGAGGCTCAGTTGGTTCTCGTCGAGGTCCACGGCGGTATTTGCGGTGAGCACATAGGTGGGCGCACCCTGGTGTTTAAGATACTTTGTCAAGGGTACTACTAGCCCACTATGTGCCGAGATGCAAAATCGTATGTGCAAAGATGCGACGCATGTCAGAGGCACGCACCAACGCCCCGGCAGCCGGCGGTACTGTTGACGCCCGTGGACTGCGCATGGCCTTTCGCACAGTGGGGGATGGACATTCTTGGCCCTTTCCCCCCAGTTTCGGGACAACAAAGATATATTATTGTCGGGATAGACTACTTCACCAAATGGGTCGAGGCCGAACCACTGGTAGCGATCACGGAGCGTTAGGTGGAAAGATTCGTGTGGAGGAACATCGTTACCCGGTTTGGTCTGCCCAG